CCACAAGGATCATCTGTGGATGAGACTTCTTCTTCTTCTCTGACGCATTAGCTTTGAATAAGGAGGACGTGCTGAGACCAGAATATTCACTATCATACTAGATATACTTCCGCAGGATCCCCGAAAGTGTTCTGTTTCAAGAGTAAATAAAACCAAAATTAAGAGTAACAAATACTTTTATTTCTTGCTATTGAAATTCATATGTTATGCTGTGCTGTAGCCCAGAAAGTGCGTAATTCTTCTCGTGGTTCATGGCATGCGCATGTTTTACTGACGTCACGACAGTACAAATTGCAACGTTAAGCGTCCCTTATGTGACGTAATTATAGTGTCTACAGACTGACTGACAGACAGCACACTACTGTATAATGGTGCGAGTGATTGAAACAGGTGACTCCTCCGGGTGGCCCTTGGCCGCCTTTCGAGGAAACAAGTAATACAACGGTCGAGCTTTGTACATATATGCATTACACCATTTACATATAGTTACCTACATTTTAAAGTGTTCTCTTGAGTCTTGAAATGACATTATACTGTTATACAGTTAGTTTTGCATTCGACGACCTTTCATGAATAATACCTCTACCCCCTATAATTATCGATTAATCAATACTTTTAACATGTATTAGAGCATCATACTGGTAATTTAATCCATGCTAATATTAAAACGTTATTTTATGAAGTAAATTACTGAAGCTACGAAAAAATGTTTTAATCATTATTGATTTTTTGCACGTGTTTTTGGTAACCCACGCAATTAGTTGTCAGTGTTTGTATGCTTTGTTGAATTTCGCGCAAAGCTACTCGAGGGCTATCTGCCAGAGGCTTATATTCCATATAGGCAAAAAGGCACGTACCTACACAAAATTTTGAAAACAAAAACAAAACATAATCAGTTAATATATGTTTGTATACTTGAATTGATTTATGATCATATTCATCACGGGACGCGTGCCTGCAAATAACTTGTTTGAAATATACCACCCTGTTTGCGCTTGTCGTCCCTAATTTTGAGGATCTAGGTAACAGGGAAGGCAGCTAGTCAACATCAACCATCGTTAACTCTTTTACCAACGAATAGTGGGATTTACCATAACATTATAATTCCCTACGGCTGAAAGGACGACCATTTTCGGTGACAGGATTCAAATCCGCGCCCCGCAGATTGCTGGTCGAGTGTCCTAATCACCAGGCTATGCCAGGCCTAGTTGTTAGTGATTTCAGCAGTAGTAACCGTGTTGCACATCTACATTTCGAAATAGACACTTTTCTTCATTAACTGTAGCTTTTAGTCTTGATTACTTGGATTATTAGTATGTATTCATATTTAATATTCATAAGAATATGATTCGTATAAATATTTCAACAGTGAGTTTTTAATTTCAATAATTCATCATTTTAAAGTACAAAATTATCTATTATTATTTACATCTTTCATTGGGTAACGTTTTAAAACATTATTTTGATTTTAAACATCAGGTACTGAATGTAAATAAGATTATTTTAATTGTACTTGCTCTTAGATGATTTTATTTGTTAAAAAAGAAAATAATAATTTAATAAAGAATATATTTGTATTATTTGTGGTTTTATATTTATCATATTTAATAGGGTTTTCCACCATGGATTGTTTAATTATTTTTCAACACTATCTCCACAAGGGTTTTGTTTAAGTTTTAAAACACGCTTACGACGTTTTACTTTTAGTAAGGGCTGCCATTTTATTTACGCTAGTGAACTCAACGTTCGTATTTTGTGTTCTTAAATCGGAATGTGAAGGTTTTACTTCTGGGCTTAACTTTAATAAGACAGAGGCCATCTGTACTAAAAGTAAAAGAGGAGGTTTGTTTTCCGGGCATCATTTAAACTTTGAAAGATTTGCGCGTTGTTTTTGTTGTGGCAGATTTTGTCAGATTTTTTTTTGCTTTATAACTTATAAGCACTTTTTCCGATTAGGCTCAAAAGAAAGAGGATAAATTGAGTCATCTATACGAATCTAAGTATTTATGGTAAAGTTGTTGTCTTGAATCAATTGCTAGCTAGTTTATATTAACAGTTATTTCAGTCTTTCAACACCTTTTTGAAATGCTACTTAGAAACAGTGGTAAAGACTGAGTAAGTGGTTTATGACTTACATACTCATATTTTCAATTATCTAGGGTAATTTAAATTTCAATTCAACATTTCAACTTTCAAGGCTACGCTATCTCTTTAATTATTAATTAATATAACATTTAAGTTGATTGTAGTAGGCTTAATATTCATAATAAAAACCACAATAACTTATTAGATTTAGAGTGAAAAAACAAGTTTTGTACTGAGCGAATGATTTTCTGGGCTGCTATTTATGGCAACAACACAAACAAACATAAAAAATGCTATTTTTATTACGCTTCTTATTTTTAATACGTATCGAACTAACTTAGATTTAAAAGAAATGTGAAAAAATTATCCGCAGTCTAGTGTAAATTTTTATCATGAATATTAGGCCTACTAGTTCTATTGCTTCAACAGCTTTCACTTTTAGCATAAAACACGGTAAGTTGTAATATATTTATTTGGCTTCACTTTTTTTTTCTCTCTGCCAACCTTTTAATTTAGTTTTTGAAAGGCTTCATTTTGGAGTAACAGAGTTTCACTAGTGCTTTTTATTTGATTGAATTTGGTTTCTGTGAAATTCATGGATGGCAGGTTTGAAACCTTTCGTTAGAAGTACCTTTTCTATAAGCATGCTTACTACATATTAGTGTATTCAGTAAAATTTATCCATGTTATTTAAGGTATACGCATAAATAATAATACAAGTTAACCACTTAGTATTTTTTGTTGTTGTTAATTATTAGTACAGAGTCCACTATATGCGTAACACATTTTAACAGCTATGATTGAAAATATCAGGCTTTAGTTATTACTACTAATGCCAAATGATGCAAATTTTATAATATTTATACACAAAAGACAACGTATTTTCAAATATTTAAATTTCACAAATTGAACATTGTTTTAAACCAGGGAAACAATGTGGTTTCCTTGAGGCTTATGAAGCTGCAC